TCGTCGCCGAACTCCTCTTTGTTGAAATTGAATCTCCAGATCCACCGGAAGTACCAAATGATGTACAGGACAGTGGTGTACGGGAGGAATGCCAACTGAACCCACAGTACGTGTCGGTACGAGGGCTTCGAATACCCGCCCTTTATGTCCATCTTTTCTTCGATAATCTTCCTTAAGATGTTCTCTTCTTCTATTCTGATCTCATCCTTACTTCGGAGGCGATTCTTCTTGCGATTGGCCGCAGAATTGCCTAAAAATCCCTCACTTTTGGCGATCTCTTGTGCTTTGAGTTTATATTTAGGAACCGTTAGGAAGTAATCGATGGCGTCTTTATATCTCGAGTGCATTGCATAGTATTGAAAGCCAGAGATGACACTAATGGTCACCACAATCACGATGCGGACGTCCACTTTGGGCGCATACATGCGCCGGTAGTAGCGGTAGTAATGGGCGTACATCTCGTCCGGATTGTCGATCATATAGTCGTAGTCTTTACGGCTGTCCTCATCCTTCAACACCTCGTAAGCGTTGGCCACCTGTCGGAAGCGTTCAGTGGCCACCTCTTTGGCCTCATCACCCCTGTGCACATCCGGGTGCCACTTGCGCGCCAACTTCCGGTACTCACGGGATATCTCATCGCGAGTCGACTCACGAGTCACGCCCAGCACTGTCACCACAAACACGCCATTAGTATCAGTATATCATGCAATCAATGGTCATATGTGTGGACACATACCGTCGTAACAGTTCTCTCGCCCGCAATACAAGCCGTCGATGAAGGCATCACTTCTTGAGATGAGTGTCGACACGGATAACAAAAATAACACCAATTGTGTGGTGTTTAAGAGATTTATATTATATCTTAAAAGCATTACAAATATATATCTATTTTACTAAACTTTACACAAAATTGTTTAATAAATAAAAATTAATAATTTATATAAAAATAAACTAAACCTAAAAACCTATAAATAAATGAATTTTTATAAATGCATTTCAAGTGAATTGAATGTAAAATGTGATGAAAAAAGTAATCAATTGTAATAAAAGTGTGAATTAATAGACCGATTGAGACGTGTCTTAAGTTAAACACATTTACGGTTACAGTTAACACACATTTGCTTCACATTTGTCTCACATTCACACAAATCACACAAATATGAGACGAGTTGTTGTGTTTGAACGCCACTCCACTCCACACACACTCACACTCTGAGCGCTCTATTCAAACACATTCTCGCACTCTGTATATCGTATGGCACCTAATGTTCACTCAATTCCTATGTTATGTCATATCAAATGCATAGACATTCATCTGTTGTGAACACACTATTCATTATTATTTATTATTTCCAAATCCAAATCAATACAATACCGTATTTTATAATAATTAATATCTTGCTAACTATAGAAACTATTGACTTGTTGACAGGTTCACTTCTGTTTAAACATTAATGGTGCATCAATTTTACTTTCATTTAGATAACGCATACATCTGTTACTGTTATGTCATTGCTTACGAGTTAGTAATTAATTTATAAATATTATTAATATATTGTATCACAGATTTTATTATATAAACACACACCGTAATGAAACTCAAAAATACTAAATTGTAGTGTCCTACAAGTGTAGTCAAATTATAATTTGATTAGATTTTATAGAATTTTAAAGTTTCAAGTTTAGAGAATTTAGTTTAATTAAAATATGATTTTCAACTTTTTATATCTTATATGATTGAGGGTATTACAAACAAAAAGCTCCAGTAGTCAAAATATTTTGTCTCTTTTAACTTTAAATACTAGACTAAAAATGAGGTTAAAGTTTTGGTAACGCTACAGAAGTTTATACTTTGAAACCTTAATTTTATATTGAAACCAAATATGTTTCATTTTAAAACTTTAATTACATGCTTACACGTTAATTAAAGTATAATTAAAGTAAGTATTATTTGTCTAATTTTGTTTTTTAATAATTGTATAAATTTACACAATATTCCTATTTCACACATAGAATCCATGTCCAGAATTGAACATAATATTAATTCAATATTGTATACAGTATTCATATTTTCCAATGTAATGTAGAAATTCTTCAAAATTATTATTAATTGTTTCTTGGAGGAATTAAATGTTTTTATATTATACTTACTTATTAGTGAGAATATTAATACTGTATTTATATAATATATGAATTGTTATAAATGCAGTTATTATTTAAAGTCATAGGTAATGATACGGTAGAACTACTCAAGGACCATACGGTATATAGTATTAAGTGGTGGTACTTAATGGTTGTATTTAATTATATTTAATTACACTCAAGTAGATCCACAACTTTTCTGTTTCAATAACATTTATTTTGGTCACTCAGTTTACGCTATTAAACATAATTTGTCTATTATATTAAACAATTATATAAAATATAAAATATAATATTTTATTTCTCAATAATTTTGCATATAATATGATAGATTTATAATTGCATACAAGTTTATTTATGATAAATAGATAGAATATCGTTGTAAATATGAATATAAATATAATTATCATATAAACCTGGTAAATATTAAAAATTGTTAATTTCTATTTACAACTACAATAAAGTAGATATTTTTATTAGTTATAAAGCACATATTTTATTTGTTATTTGAAATAAAATCAATGAAAAGATATACATATTTTATTAAATGGACTTATGTTCCACACAAATCAATATTTATAAATAACAACTCTTATGTCATTTGTTAGCAATCAAATGCAAATTATTATTATATATCGAAATTATATATACTAATATACAATTCGCTTATTATTCTGAGAAATTATTACACTTTAATTATAAACCCAAACAACTAAACCATTCATTGGACAACACTTTGAGAGCATAAGTGATTAATTTTTGTGCTTAAATATAAATTACTTTTAATGCAATTCATAACAAATTCTATTAAATGAATAACAATTAAAATTTATAACAATTATTAAAACTGTTTTAAAATGTTTCGCTTTTTATAGATAAAATCATTGTATAATCCAATGTTTAAAATAATTAGTTTATAGTTTCCAACACTGTCTCATCATTAGATCAAAATATATGTCTTCATCGATAGAAGCGCTCACTCCTGAGTAGTAGTCTATGAACTCATCTTTAGTTAACTGAAATCGTATCAAAAGGTTTTCATTAACAACATTTGAATCACAATTAATGAAAAGTAAGGAATACCTGTCCGTCCACAGAACCTCCCTCTTCAAACTTCTTGAGAAAGCCTTCGAGCAGTTCTTTCTCAGTCTTCTGTCCATTTTGATACTCCGGATGACTTCTGATATTGTAAACCCCGTTCAAGTCGTCGAGATTTACGATACCATCGCCTGTTTTATCCAATTTCTTGAACGCCATTTCAATCAGATTCAGACGAGTCTTACTCATCGGAGGCTTTATTTAATAATTGAGTTATTAGTTTGATATTTGAGACAAAATCACTGAAAATATATATCACATACTCTGACGGCTCTCAAGAACTCATCGTATTTGACGGTTCCGTTGCCATCCCTATCGAATTGTCTGAACATTTCATTGATCTCATCGTCGCTCATATCGAGTCCAATATCTTTCATACCATTAGTGAACTCTTGTAACGTTAAGTCTCCACTTTGGTTGTCATCCATTATTCTAAATGTTCTGTAAATACAATATTTATTCATTTACTTCATTTACAGGTTTATGTCATTCATTTGTACATATTTTCATTTCTCGGATCATCATATAATATATTTATTTTTATGTTTCAACTTTAATTTATTTAAAAAATAATTTAATTCAACTAATTGTCCTTATAAGTAATACACATTAAAATCGTTATTAATTTTTAATCAAATATTCTATTAAACACATTTTCCTTTCAAGTATTAAAATCTTATATTATATCATATATGAGCTAATTTGACAGATAGTTAGCAAAATGACAGATGAATGTGAAGGGATGGCTTAAATTTGTAGTATTGTAATCTCACTTTTGTTACTCATAACTTGATTTAATTCAAAACACTTAACCAATAATTGTTGTAATTTCAAAAGCTTTGAACATATTCTTCGGGCGTATAATAAAAATATTAAATTAATTTATTTGTATTTTTCAATTTAATATTCCTTTTATACAATTATTTAATTGTAATTTTAAGAAGGATGGGGCGAAACAACTCAATATAAATAGCAATTTAAATTAAAATATAAAATTCATATATTATTAGTATAGAAATTAATTTAATAGGAATAATTACAGTGATATATTCAGTCTTTTAGAATTATAACTAGGATCTCCAGAAAAGTGGAAATAAAAGTGTGTAACAAAAAGACGGCCACTTGTATCTCTGTGAGTAATACAAAACTTATTCACTATTTTAATCAGTTTTTGATTTTCAAAATTTTAATCCTTTATATTATAATTATTGTTCAAATAATGTATTTTCCGTTCAAATAGTTCTCAAGTTTTTCATTGATTTCTAATTTTATTTAAAAAAAATTGTTAACATTTTTGGTGTTCTTAATAGTTTAGGAAATACTTCAATAATAATTAATTTAACAGAAAATATGTTTAAAATAATAAAAAAAGAGACAAAAAAGTCACAACACTTTGAACTGAAAGACAAACAAACGTAAAACAAATGCATTGAAAGAATAGACGATTGGATTGAGTGCTCGACCATAACGAGAGGCAACCACTGATTAGCACCGATAGCTATGAGCAGTTTGTGTTGCACTATCAATTGGGACACCGAATGATTGCATCTCATGAGTCGAAAGCAATTATGGAAATCAAGACAAAACAATATCCGATTCGACACTCGACTAGTCTTTAATGTCTTAATACGTATAGTAAAGGAAGACATTATGATAAATCTCGAGGAATGTCAGGTTAGTCCTCGAGGAATGTCATCTGTCCGGGACCTCCTTTCCTCATATAGCGTCGATACCGCTTATAACTGGAACTCTCGGCCAACTGAGCCTTCGTCTCGTAGTCTTTGTTGCGCTTCCAGACATCGAAGTTCTCTTTGATCCACAGCTCGTCCTCCATATACTCCCCGACCTCCTCTTCGGTCAGGGCTTCCCATTGCAGTTGAGATAAACCCATGAATTTCCTTATGATATACTGCTTCTCTTCGTCGCCGAACTCCTCTTTGTTGAAATTGAATCTCCAGATCCACCGGAAGTACCAAATGATGTACAGGACAGTGGTGTACGGGAGGAATGCCAACTGAACCCACAGTACGTGTCGGTACGAGGGCT